GTCCAGCTCAGGCATTGATGTGAATGATAAAGTAACCAGGAGGGACTTTCAGTCTGGGTGTCTGGTAGTGGGGACACATCAGATGGAAGGGAAGGGATGACACTTACGATCTAGCTCAGCTGCTTGCATCTCAGTTTCTGACTCAATCCAGTTCTCTGGTTGATGGCTCAACCTAGTTCCTTCATCTGTTCAATTCTTTCTTTTCTTTTTTATAAAAGATCACTGACTGACAACACCAAAAAGGCAGGTGGAAGGGAGTCAGGCTGTGTAACTTGCAGACCTTCAGCTGTAACAACAGAAAGATGAGCAGGATGAAGTGACTCTGAAACTAAGAGAATGTAGGCCCCTGGCACGGTGACGGTCATCGACAGGCCTCATCTTATTTCCAGCCAGTTGGAGGCCAAGGGTTACTAACTGGTAGTTTGCTGCCCACAACATGATAAACCAACCTAATTAACTGAATAAATAGTCTAGAACAGCGGTTCTCAACCTGTGGGTCGCGACCCCTTTGGCGGTCAAACGACCCTTTCACAGGGGTTGCCTAAGACCATCCTGTATATCAGATGTTTACATGATCCTCAGGTTATTTGGACTTCTCTAGGAAGTTCTCTGAAAATTCATAAACCACTTTATTCAACCTGCTGTTGATGCAATATTTTATAGATGTTACTGTACAGATCTTTCATACCTTTTATTAAATATATCCCTAAGATTTTGATAATTCTGGATATTATAAATTGCACTGTTTCTTAATTTCTGAGTGTTCAAGCTAAGTTTATAGAAATACAATTAATTTTTGTATATTTATCTTATATCCTGCAACCATGCTAAACTCATTAATCCTTTGGTAGACACTATCAGATTTTCGACAAGTCATCTCTGAAAACAGTTTTACACTTGATCTTAGCCAAAAAGCTGAGAAGCGATTCTTCATTTACAGGGCCTTTTTCTTTTTGCTCTACTGCACTGGCTAGAACCTCCTATAAAATGTTCAGAAGCAATGCAGTGGACATCCTTGCATTAAACTTGTTGGGAGGAATGCATCCATTCACCATGTTTGGTAGAGAATTTTTCCCCTAAATGTGCTTTATCAAACCGAGGAAATTCCCTGTAAATTATGATTTGCTTAGAGCTTTTATCATAAATTAGTGAATTGTCAAATGCACCTTCAGCATTTATTAATCACATGGTTTTCCTCATGTATCGATATGGTAGATTTTCTTATCCTATTATTGCCATAGTTGTTCATAATATTTGGAGAACCTTTAGTGGTTTTACCTCTCTCATTCTCAGCATTGGTCATTTCTTTCTTTAAATCCTGTTCAGTCTGGACAGGTATATGGATTGTTCTAGAGCTTCTCAAAGAACAGCTTCTGGGTTACATTTTTCCTATTTACCTTTTCCTTTCCAATGGCATTGACTTCTGCTCTACCTTTGTTATTTCTCCTCTTCTGCTTATACTTTTATTTGCTCAACTTTTTCTTAAGTGGAAACTGGGATCACTGATTTGAGACTTTTCCCCCCTTCATCTAGTGCTATAACTCTCCCTCTAAGTACTGCTTTCATTGCATCACAAGATACGTCAACACACAAAAATAAACTGTATGTCCATATACCAGCAATGAACAAGTAGAAACCAAAATTAGGAAAACAACACCATTTACAATAGTTCCAAGAAAACAATTACTTAGCTCTAAATCCAATAAAACTTGTACAGAGTCTGTATGCTGAAACTACATAATGCTGGTGAAAGAAACAAAAAAAAAGGGAAATAAATGGAGACATGTCATATTCATGGTTTAGAAGATTCCCCATCCTAAATATGTGAACTCTCCCCAAACTTATCCTATAGATATAATTCAATCCAGTGAAAATCCCAGCAGGGATTTTGTATAGACAAACTGATTCTAAAATTTACGTAGGAAGGCAAAACTGATAGAAAAGCCAAAATAATTTTGCAAGAATAAAGTTGTAGGAATCACACTACCAGATTTTTAAGACACAAAAAGCTACAGTAATCATGACCATGTGCTATTGACAAAAGGAGACACGCATAGACCAATGGAAGAGAATACAGAGTCCAGAAATGAACCTATATTAAAATGGCTAATTGATTCTTGACAAACATACAAAAGAAATTCATTGGTAAAAGAATAGACTTTTCAAGAAAGGGTCCTGAAACAACCAGACATCCATCCACATGTCCCCAAACAAAAACCATCACCCTCACATTTTGAAAAAATTAACTCAAGAGATTATAAATCTAAATTTCATGTTAAAGTATAAAACATTTAGAAGAAAATATAGTAGAAAATCTTTAAGAACTGAGGCTAAACAAAGATTTCTTAGACATGCCACCAAAAAGCAAAATCCATGTAAGAAAAAAAATTTAATAAACTGGACTTCACCCAAATAAAAATCGTTGCTCTATGAAAAACGCCGTTAAGTGAATGAAGAGGCAAGCTGCAACCTAGGAGAAAATATTGCACATCATGTAACTGAGAAGCAATTTGTACCCAAAATACATAAAGGTTCTAAGCTCAACAGTAAGAAAACTACCCACTGTAAAAATGCACCAAAAATATTAGAAAAAGAACAAAAACAATTTAAAAGGCAAAAGAAATTAAAAATGAACAAAAGATTTGCATACTTCATCAAAGAAGATACACAGATGGTAAATAATCCAACTTTCCATTAGAGAAATGTGAATGAAAACCATGACGAGATGTCACTACATATCTATTAAAATGGCTAAATAAGAAATACTGACAATATCAAGTGCTGGTAAAGATGCAGAACTGGAACTGCCTTTTTGCTGAGTAATAACTTTTTCTGAAACATTATTTAAATACTAGTGGCCTGGTGCATGAAATTTGTGCAGGCGGGGGGGGGGGGGTTCCCTTAACCCAGCCTGAACCCTCTCCAATCAGGGACCCCTTGGGGGATGTCCAACCGGCAGTCTGATATCCCTCTTGCCATCTGGGACCGCTAGCTCCTAACCGCTCACCTGCCTGCCTGTCTGATCACCCCTAACCTTTCTGTCTGCCTGCCTGATAGCCCCTAACTGCCCTCCCCTGCTGGCCTGATCGCCAGGGTCCGGGGTGCAGGTGAATGGGATTCCTGGCTGGCAGGCCACTGACAGCAAGCTATCCACCAGCCGATTCTGCAAGGAATGGGGCTCCCATCTCCCTCCTGTCAGGGTCTGAATTCGAAGGCTGGCCAACACCCCCGATTGCATGAGACCCAGAGTTCCACCGTGCCCTGGCCGGCTGGGGCCCACAGCCCCCTCCTGCTGCAGCACCAGGATGTCCCGGGGCCCACAGCCCCTCGGCAGTCAGTGCTGGGTCGCCGCGGCACCCGTGGGAGCTGGGCGGGAGGGGCCGAGAGGTCGGCAGTTCAGCCGACCTTGCCAGTCCCCACCCACCCGAGCCTGCTGTGTGCACAGCCTGACGTTTGGTCGTTTTGGACATTACAGACCCTGGCTCTTTAGATAGATAGATAGATAGATAGATAGATAGATAGATAGATGCTTGCAGGAAGTAATACTTTGGGGTTTTGTTGTTGTATTAATATATTTTTATTGATTTCAGAGAGGGAGAGATGAAACATCAATGATGAGAGAGAACCATGGATTGGCTGCTTCCTGCACGTCCCCTTCTGGGGATCGATCCTGCAACTCGGGCATATGCCCTTGATTGAGATTGAACCTGGAACCCTTTAGTCCGCAGTCTGATGCTCTATCCACTGAGCCAAGCCAGCTAGGGCAGAAAGTAATATTTTGACATTGTGACTTTAGGCAACGACACTCTCCAGTTGATTCAACACAAGTTTCTAGTCAGAGAACGTATGGAACAAATTTGAATTGTGCACCAAATTTAAATGCAGCGTAAAATGTTTTAGTTGGCATGAGTGGAGTCCTCTAGATTTCAGGCAACCATGTATGTCCACTATTTCCTCCTTTTGAAAAGCACTCTTGATTTATCCTTTGTTTAGTCCTAAAGGAGCAAAGGTTTTCTGTAAAGGGTCATGGTATTTTCAGCTTTGCGGCCATCAGGCCTGTTGCAGCTACTTCCCTCTGCCCTGAGCAAAGCAGCGGAGACGTTTCTATTGCGTGGTCCCAGGCAGACTCCACAGGAACTGGCCGTGGCTTGGTCTGGCCCACTGGCCCGCTGCAGGGCTATAGCAGCAGAGGGGGAGGGCCGACCCGCACACGTTCAGAGCTCCGCTGGGACCAGAGCCAGCTTCCATTAGCACTGAGCATTTCATTAGCAGCTTCCTGGTTTTATTGGAGAAACATCTTAACTGCTGGCGAGCACTGGCCTCGAGGTAGTTTCGAGAGACATCTCCTTTCTAATCAGCCCTCTCTGATCCTCTTAAGCAGCTCAACCAGCACCATCCATGCAGCAAGGGGCTGAGAGACGACTGCCTTCGGTGGCTGAGCTGTGTCAAGAGTCCAGTTCTCGCCGAAACCGGTTTGGCTCAGTGGATGGAGCGTCGGCCTGCGGACTGAAGGGTCCCAGGTTCGATTCCGGTCAAGGGCATGTGCCTGGGTTGCGGGCACATCCCCGGTAGGAGGTGTGCAGGAGGCGGCTGATCGATGTTTCTCTCATCGATATTTCTGACTCTCTATCTCTCCCTTCCTCTCTGCAAAAAATCAATAAAATATATTTTTTAAAAAGTGTCCAGTTCTCCCAACCTCAACCCCAGGTCTCCCCCAGTGAATAAGCACCGCCCCTTACAAACAGGGCACCCCCCCCCACCCCCAGAAAAACAGGGAGTATCTGCTCCTGACCATCATGGGGGCAGAAGTGTGTCTCAGGGTTGCCCAGGGATGGCATCACCATCACCCACCGCATCATTACTCCTGGGGGTGGGACCCAGGTGACCTTGAACCACCAGGACAAGGCCTCCAGCCTGCATGGTGGCCCACGACACAGGGCTGCAGGGCCAGGGCCCAGGGTCTGCCGAGGCCCCTGGTCTTCACAAAACCCACGGCATGCTTAAAAAAATAAACTTTATTAATATACCTGTCAAAGTCCAGGCTAAAATTATAGCAACCTATTTACAAAGTGCTGCCTGCGAGCCCGGCGTGGCTGCACCTGGCACTTCCGCAAACACACACCGAGCGCAGCCTCCACACAGGCGGGGCCACCAGAGCATTTACAGAACAGCCCTCAGGGTCAGAGCGCAAGGGAGGAGGGCAGGAGGCCCAGGGAGAGGTGGACAGTCAGACACGGGTGGGCGAGAAGGCCGGCAGGCCTGCCTCAGTACTTCAGACTGCAGGTCAGACTGCTGGGGACCCTGCTGCCCTGCAGGGGCGGCGAGATCCAGACGGCGGAGCTGGTGCGCTTGTGGTAGCGAGGCTTGCTCTTCCTGAAGATGTCCTCCAAGTCCAGCTGGCGAATGGTGCCGAAGAGCTCCAGCAGGTTCGGGGGGTGGCAGTACTGGTGGAGGATGGCCTGGCTGAGCTGGGGGCCTGCAGGGAACACAGGGCCGTGTCAGTGCCGTGGGAATCCCCATGCCCCTGCCCCACCCAGAGCCCTGATCAGCCTCTGCACACCAGCATGCCCCACCGCCTGCCAGGCCAGCTCCTCTGAGCCCTGCTCCTCCTGCCCCCACCACCAAACACCGATCATGCTCTCACTGCACGTTCCTCCTGCCAACTAGAATTAGGTGGCTTTGCCAGTCATCTGGCTTCCTGGCCACAATGACTCCTGCTAATGGACACCTCCCAAGTGACTTGAGTCAGATCCTGGTTACTGTGTGGTACAAATGAGGTGGCACTCACAGGAGCAAGCTGTCTTTTTTTTTTTTTATTGCTTAAAGTATTACAAAGGGTATTACATATGTCTCCTTCTTTTCCTCCCACTTGACATTCTCCCGGCTTCCCCTACCCTCAAGTGTCTTAAGAGCGAACTCGAGGACCCACTTATGAGGCCAGAGGCCCTAAGAGCCAGGATGTGGAGCGGTAGGCGGCAGAAGTACCTCCTTTGGACCTCTGCCTTTACAGAGAATTTAGGACTTG